CAAACCCCCCCTCCCCCCAACCCTAAATAAAAATATTAAAATTTAGAATACTTACTTTTCATGTTGTAGATACAGTATTTTGTTTTTCATTTCAACAAAAAGAATATTTTCCTTTATTTCAACAAAATAAGTACTTTTTTTCATGATGTAGAAAAAGTATTTTCTTTTTCACAAAATGAGTACTTTCTTTTCATGTTGTAGAAAAAGTATTTTATTTTATTTTAACAAAAAGAGTATTTTCTTTTCATATTGTAGATTTTGAACATTTTGAATAAAGTTAAGGTGGCCAATAGGTAATGAGCTCAGTTAAAGTGTTTAAGTGAAATATGTGGGCAAGTTTAAGGGGCTGCCTGTGTATTCAGCCTTACTCCTTTGATCTTTCTGACATTTCATTTGATGATAAATTTGAGATATTTATGTTATCAGAATAGATGGAAGAAGTCTTAGCAGTTCTTATCAGTCATTTGCAATATATGAAAAATGAGAAAATACTTGATCAGCACTCTATAAAATTTGATTGTTATGGATACTCAAAATGACTATTGACTGCCATTTTCTTTCAGGTAAGAATGATAATCGATAAATTTGGCTTAGCTGCAGTTAGGAATGCTTGGTACGATCCTAAACAAGTTGATGATCATGTCTTGCAAGGCTATACAAAGGTGATTCCTTGACAGCTAGTTGTTTCCAACCTTGAGGATAGGCTCGGTTTTTGTCTTTTTGCTTGTATTTGGTTTTTCAGGTATGCAACCTAGTTTCGTTGTGCATTGTTGTCATCTTGAATCTTTCAACATTTACAGCCTCTCAGAGCAAAAGATTGGGATAAGGCTCTGGTGGAGTATACCGTGGCTATGCTTACAGATTCTGCATCTGAATCAAAGCTGCCGCTGTCAAAGAAACTGGGCGAAATCTCATGTCCTGGTTAGAAAATCATCTCTGTGCCAGCAAATTGAGTTTGATAACTAAAAGGAAACATTAGATTTCGAAATAATTAATTGAAAAAGTAAGCAAGATTTCAAGTTATTATGAAGTATTAAAAACGACATATAACCAACATCTCTTGACTACCAAATAACCTTTGATTGCACCATTTTCTCTAAGCTACGCCCCAACTAATACTGAAAAAGTGCTCGTCATATGAGCCTTTGTTCCAACATGTTCTTTTTACATTCTTAGTGTTGTTATAACACCATGTTCTAAGAAACATAGTCTTAAACGTACATGAGAAACAACAGACTCCAGTTACACAATGAATACACAAAAAAACTTCCTAATGCTTTTTTTTCTCTTTTATGTGCAAATTGAGGTTCAGTTCTGATTGTCACTGGTGATAGCGATCGGCTTGTTCCACCATGGAACTCTGAAAGACTTTCACGGGCCATTCCTGGATCTTGTCTTGAAATAATCAAGAATTGTGGCCACTTGCCCCATGAAGAAAAGGTGGACAAATTTGTATCCATTGTTGACAGATTCCTTGAAAGAGTTTTTGGGGTGCAAAAAGAGCCTCGTCTGCAACCAGCAACTTGAGATTGATATTTTGTCTAGTTCAACTTGGCCAGGATTGACACCTATTGGTGACTGGTGAACATTAAGTTTGAGAGAAGAGTTACCTACTCAAGTTCATATATAGGATTTATAGGAAAACGTTATAGCTCTTTGTCAATGTTATCAATCTTATAAATACCTATCATTTCATCCTATATGAAAGGTAGGTAGCTGCTAGTTTGTGCAAGTAAACATCTATTTCTTTGATCACCCTTGAGACTATGACAAAGTTCTATGATGTAATACAATACATGTATATTGAGACTTGTAAAATTGTACTTCAGTTTATTCCATAGTAGCTGAAACCTCTGCAGTTTTACAAGAAGCCCGTGATTTGCTGCTACAAACTGAAACTTCTTTGCAGATTTTTGTGATAGTTGCAGTACGGAAAGCATATATTTTACAATATCTCATTGTATGCATCATAATACAATAGATGGTATTCCATCTTCAGAAAGGGGGATCAAGAGATATGGTGAGAGAGGGATCCGGTAAACCACGAGGAATATCAAAACCAGACATGAAATCCTCTCCAAATATCACAGCACCAGCTGCTAATGCCCCAGCACCTACTCCCATTCCAAAACCAGGTCTTGCATTTCGTGTTGCTGCTGCTCCACTTTGTGGCATGCTTAAATAACTAGACGACGCGTTGTCTGTTCTTGGGAGGAAAGTTGGAATGTAACCAACATTAGCAGGTGGAGGTGGTGGTGGAGCACGCGGTGGCTGATAGCTCGATCCTGCTGCTGGCGTGTAGCTCATTCCCCCCACCAATGGGTGGGAATAATTTGTAGCATATGGTACTTGACGCGCATATTGGTGATTTAGCTGTGGTTGGTTTCTCTGCAGTTGAGACGGGGTCAAGGATTGTGGTTGTGGGTATGCTGTGGCAGGTTTATATCCATTAGCCAAGTTGAAGCCACTGCTGTTATCTGCAAGCTTAAATCCCTCATTGTCACCTAGTAAACCAGATTTGATCAAAATTAACTCTTCAGTTAAGACTCATAAGAGTATGGTTCTTGGTCCAAAGCACTACTTGAATCAAGGATCTTTTTCATTGATTCTGAGGGAACAAAGACAATCTATTCATGACCTTAAAATGTAAAAAGCTTGTTAAATTTTATACCTGGGAGTGAACTTGGCTCTTCCCTTTCCTCTGAAATTCGTATCGATACATCAACAAATCCCTGAGGTTTATTCGAGTTTTTTCTCCGCAATTGAAAGCTCCCCACCTCTTCAATAGGCTTTGAAACCTCAGTGTTGTTATTGTACTTGTCCAGAAATTCCTTCAAAATTACAGTAGCTGTTCCCAGGAGCTTTTCTCTAAGAAAAATGGGCTCTCTACTGTAAACTTCAACATGGAGGGTATCTAATTCAGAAGTGTCAACAAACATTGAGAATTTGGTTTTCCAAACAGGATTTGCATTGCCTGAAGAATCAATCTTGGAACAGTACTTATTGTTTGGATCAATCCATCCAACAGCATACCATTGCAGCTTCCACAAAGATGATGTTCGTCGTAGCCCCCTGGCGGAAATCAGGCAGACTTCAATCCATATTTTCCCCATTTCAGGTAAAGCTTTTTGCTTGATTGATACAAATGGTGACAGAATATGTGCTCCTCAAAGGTTCTTTTCTTGATTAAAAAAAAAAAAGGTGTACTGTTTTGCATCATAATAAGGCTACCTTACTTTATGCTAAGAAATTACTTTACATTATTTTGAGTTCTGTTGAGAGTAATGTAGGTAGCTTTTCCCCGTATTGTGACTCAGAAGTCTACCAGAGGGGACAGGACTCAGAATGTTAGTCAAAAGTTTGCAACATAACACCATTGAAAAATGAACTCAAGGGTCCACAAGAAAGTAATTTATCCACCAGTTTTATGCTTGTACTGCAATTACAACAATATTTCATGTGTTAGGTGTAACAACAAAGCCCGACATGGAAAGTAGAAAAGAAAAATGATCTACTTATAATGAATTGGATACTCTTAATGGCGTGAGACCTTTTTTGGGAAAACCGTGCGGGCTTGGCTCAAAGCTGACAATATCAAACCGTATTAAGAGTATCATTGAACAGTTCTAGCCCAACAATTGATATCAAAACTAATGATTTAGTGGGATGAGTATGGAGATGGAGGATTGATGGCGTAGGGTCTGGCTTAGTGACTTTGCCCGTGTACAAGCCGGTTTGCTACCTTTACTCGTAGTTTCAAAAATGCATATCTCCAAATTCGCCCATAAATGATGATGGATTATGTGGAACTTAGTTTAAGGGGGGAATTGTGAATAAAATCTCACATGAAAAGTAAAAAAGAAAAATGATCTACTTATAAGAAGTTGGATACTCTTAATGGTATAAGGTCTTTTAGTGGCCTCAGATGTCTATCTCACACTCCAACTTACTCAATGATCAAGTAACACTTCAACTTGGCACAGGTGTGTCTTATGGAAATTTGGTAGAACTTTATGGAGAAGAAGAAAGAGGGTGGGTGGTGAAGGAGATGGTAAAGAGGATTTTCTAACATTTTTCTTTTTCTTTTTAAATTAAATGTCTTTTTCTTTTTCTTTTTTATAAAAATTACACGTGTCCTTTTTTTATTTATCACTTTTCCATGTCATATGCGATTGTAATTCACACTCTAAATTTATCAGACGGGGTTGTCTACGAGACACACATGTGCCAAGTTGAAGTGTCTACTTGATAATTCAGTAAGTTGGAGTGTGAGATATACAAATGAGCCAACTTTAAGTATCTCTTTATGTATTTTCCCTTTTCTTATCTACTGTGAAAATTTGCATAGATTCAAAAGGTTTTAGCTTCCAGCTTCTCCACTTTTTCTTATGTCCAACAATGTCTTGCTTCTTGGCAAGAATATCTCTATTTTAAAAAGTAGAAAGGATCTTTAGGTAACTAATTAAAACCAAAAAGACCAACTAAAGTTATTTACAAGTGGTGACATAGGAAACAGTTTATTCGATGAACTATTATTTCTCAACTTTTTCTAAAGAAAGGATACAGTCATTAGAAGACAATGCTCTATCCAAAATCACTAGCCCATCCAGAGACCATTTTTTATGTTAGTGAACAAGGAAAATAGTCTACACATCTAAGTAACAGACAACTATGTAATCATTTATGTATCGACATTTACACTTTAACACTAACTGAGGATCCTGAGGAAAAGGGTTTTAATTTGTTCCACCGAGCTAAAACAATATCAATATGTTGATTTTCTTCACTTACACCTTACACCTCAGCTGAGTCTAATGAGGTTCAGGTGCGGAGCCTTCCACTCGAGACTACGCAAAGGTAAAATACCATGGGAACTTCGCTGATTTTATCATCAACCTTGATTTTTCTATGCTTAATAAGAACGCAGAATAGCGGAAATAGGTTCGTGTTCCACTTTCAAAGGAAGAAAAAGAAGGGGGAAAATAAGAGAAGAGTGTGCTGATGCTAAAGCATATAAGCCAATGTCAGCCTTGTTTCAATCTCTCAACAAGAATGTGCACTCCTTGGCCTGGTTCTACAATCATCCTATAAGCTGGCGAGTGTTTGTATTTTGGAGAAAGAGAGAAACGAAACTTGGAAATGATGAGTGAAATCACAATCTTGAGTTCCACCATCGCGAAATTCTTGCCTAAGCAAAGCCGAGGACCTAGTCCAAACGGGATATAAACTTGTGGCAATTTGCAAGCACCCGAAACTCCATTCTCAAACCTATCCGGCTTGAATTCATTCGCGTCTCGTCCCCATATCTCAGGGTCACGATGCAGCGTTGGGATCAAAGTCCATAAGCATACACCTTTTGGCACAACAATATGACCAATCTGTGTATCTTTCAATGCCTCCCTTGACACAAATGCTGCTGGCGGATACAAACGCATCACTTCTTGAATAACCATTGTCACCTTCATATCAAGTTTCAGTATTAGATGCAAATAAAAATTTTAGAAGAGTATAACTTCTGTGCACTTGTCAAGTCACCTAAAAAACAACTACATGTAACAGCCCATTTATAACAAATGAGACTAGCAACCTAAAATACATTGATATTGTAAAAACTCTTTACGCAGTTAGAATGATACAGATGCAACACTTCTTGAATGACCATTGTCACCTTCATATCAGGTTTAGTTGTTAGATTTAGATTGTTGAGAAATAAAAGTAATTAAAAATGTCATCTCTCTAACAGCTTAAGTTTTTAGAACAGTTCAATATAGATTAGTAATTCAGAATGCTATGGTTGAGTAGTGAACGATAAATGTGATGAGTACCATTTTCATTTTGGAGACTGACTCTGCATCTAGGACGCCATCGGGGCAAATTTGAGCCATTTCATCACGTATACGAGATTGCCATTCTGGATGTAAAGCCAGAAGCATGAGACACCATGATGCAGCAACAGCAGTGGACTCATGACCTGCAAAGTATATGTTCTTGCAATTGTCAACTATGAATTTCCTGGACGAATTCTCGCCTACACTATCATCGTTGATAGCTCCCTCGAGTATCGAATGCAACAAGTCCTTCTCATTTGAGGATGTCTCTAAGCATTCCCTTTCTCTTTCTTTCACTGCTTCCCATATCAATGACTCTATCTCTTTCTCTAAGTTGTCAATCTCCTTTTGCTGCCTACTTGGTAGAAACCTATAACATAGTCCAAATCCCAAATATTTGACGTTTTAGAAAAACACAAACTCGTTTAAGATATGCGAAAATCTGAAAAGACAGATAATAGGGACGAGAAGGAGAGAATGTATGTACCCTAATGCAGGAGAACCAAAAAGAACACTTTGGTTTGATATGATTTTCTGAAGGGTTCGAAGCTTTGAGAAAATCTTTTTGCCTTTGAAATAAGAGCTTCCAAAGCAAGCTCTTGAGATCACATCTGCTGAAAAACTTCTCAGATCCTCTCCCACGCTGATTTCCGCCATTTTACCCTCTTCAGCTTCAATGTTTTCATCCCATTTTCTTGTCAAAAGCTCAGCTGATTGCAACATCAGGCTCACCATACGCTGTAAATTCATAGTATTCAAGTTTCATTTTTTCCCATCGAACCATTAATTATTCTATATTGGTAGTATTAAGTTTCTGTTTATTTTCTTTTTTTCGTCGATTACCTTGACCTTGTCCATGAAGAATTCGGGCGCGACAATTTTCCTCTGCATGGCCCAAATGTGGCCATTAGACTTCAAAATACCATTACCAAGCATAGGGGCAAGTCTTTTGGTGACATAAGAAGGCTTCCCTAAATCCAGGCTTTTACTTTGGTTCATTTCTTTTACTAGCTCCGGTTGGTTCACGTACAAATGTTGCTTGTTTCCTGTTGAATATGTATATATAGGACCTGCAGTTAATCACACCAGCAAAAAATTCAGTACATAAAATAAGGAGTCAAAAATCAGTTATGCAGATTATTTCAATTTGAAGTAGGCATTGGGGTTATTAGCCTCTGATAAATGATTTGAATTTTTAACTAACATATGAAATGAAACTTGTCTAACACTAATGGTTAAAATTCATAAAAGAGCTCTTGTCATAACCTAATCCCAAGGCAACTATTGTTCTCTATGGCGTAGTAGACCTCACGGATTTGTCCCTCGGGCTGTGCAATTATCGAGCGCGCGTACCATATGATATGAGTTTGTGTTATACCTTATAAAGCTCTTCAATTTCTTCTTTCAGTCGCATGTGGAATGCGCTTAAGGAATCATGTTCCTTCTCTTTGACCCGCAAAGAAAACAAAGAGGGTCATTTTTCTTTTAGGAACATGACTTTCGCCAAAAGCGACACAACTATATGAGAGGTAGTCCACCCTTCGTGTCACAACTTTAATGTAATTATACAAGTACATGCTAAAAGTAGTAACAGTGAAGAAGCACATGTTGTTACACTGTTACTGTCCATGTGTTCCCTAAATCTCTAACTCTTACCTCAATTGGGCAACCTGTAAATGAGGAAGGTTTGTACTCAATCTTACATGTGTCTTTTAACTATGACCCACCCATCCAGTCAATTGTCCCTTTGAAAGGAAGTCTGATTTAACAATATTATAACACCAAAATAGGAAAGGTCCTCAAATTTTGACCTTACATTAGGCAGTTCACTAAACCTACTCATCGACTAGAGTTTTTTATGGATAAAATTAACTTACACCAAAATGTAACTCTTCATAACAAATTTAGTATGCTAATTTGAAAATAAGAGTAATAACTTGATATATTTATTTAAATTAGATTTGATAATATAAAATTGCACACAATATATAACATATTCTCTTCGATTGATGTTAATTTCTATCCTACTTTAGCTACAATTTATTACTCCATGAGATCTAGTGACTAGATCTGTCAGTGGATTAAGGATATCACGTGGCCAATGGCCAAAATCTGACTTATATTTACTGAAGATATTACATGTACCGCAGTTTGGTCAAAACTTCAGTACGTACAAGCTTCAGGAATTACTGGGATCCATGCATTGACTTCCAACCAGTGGATCTAGTTAGAGTTAAAGTTTAATAGTACCATTTAAATAAGATTTTAAATTTTTTTAAAAATATTTTTGGAATTAAGGAAGAGCCCGAAGTACTTTTTGTTAATACGTAAATAGAAATGATAAATGTAGAAGAATGTAAACACAATTTAGGAAAAAAGTAAGACGGGATAAAATATTTGATACCCTATACGTTTTTATATTTCTAACAAAATATGGTCCCTTTTTCTTTCCTCCCGTCGAATCCCGACAAATATATATTTAAATGTGTTTAAAATATTTAATATTGGTGGCAATCATTTATAGGTCCACAGTATTAAATAATACTATCATCTCATTGTGGTTCGCAAATTGTAGCATAACAATAATGCAGTCCGCAATTGGAAGTATTTCTAATTCAATCACTATAACTTCTTAGGAATACAGTTGTCTAACCCATGCCCTCTTAATTATTTTCCCAGGGGGGTAAAGTAAATGAAAATGACTTATATAGTCATCAACACAAATGTGCCATGCGCATCTAGAAAATTAAATGGGATCTTTACACAAATAGTCTATCAAATTAACTTCATTTTTAAGAGCCAATATATATGGACTATATACTAAATTACTAATTATACACGTTTATTACACATCTTATATATAGATTATATATACATATATTATACACTTGTCGGCTATATTTAGTTTAAGCTACTTAGTGGATGGCTACTTAGATTAATCCTTCAAATTAAATTGTGAAAGAAAGCTGCAAAAGCATGTGATGACAACCATTTTCCTTGTTACTGTATTAAGTATTGAATAATTAGAGATGAATAGAAAAATGCCAAGAGGGGCAACATTTAATGATAACAAGAAGACACCAATTGGTGCATATGATGAAATCATTCTAACTAAAGCTTTGGATTTAACTCTTTTTCTTTTCTTTTTGTATCTGGACTGCAAGTACTACCAATAAGAGACAATAATTCAAACAGTAGCAAAGATGCCAGCACATCTCTCTGATTACTGATCATAATTTTGAATGCTTTAAGATCTTTTAGTTCACAGTACATATAGCATGCAACTAATTAGGAACTACTTTTGTTAGATACATAAATATCTATAATGACTATGCTATTTGTGCTACTGCCTTTTGATATAAAAAAAAAGTTTAATCTTTGTTAGCAAAAAAAAAAAAAAAAAAAAAAAAAAAAAAAAAAAAAAAAAGAGAATTAAGGTCCCTCAACTGCTTAAAAGTTTCTCTATGGAAAGGCTAAGCCTACAGCCTACTCAAGTGCTAACATAATTTTATACAAAATCTTAGTGGAACAAATTAAAGTTTATTTAAGAAAGAATTTCTGTCTTTTTTTCCCTTATGATTTTATGCAAGCACTCTCTTATAAAAACAGAACAAATGGACAAAATTTAGAATCCTCTTTCCTTCCATTAAAGACATGATTTTTGGTGACAGCCTGGAAGTTTTGAAGTACAGAAGCAAACCATTTTTTCCTTTCTTTCAAGCTAATTATTGCTATCTTTCCTTTTCTTTTCTTTTTCTCTTTTTTCTTTTTTTTTTTGGACAGGAAGGTCGGTTATCTTTTCATTGTTCTTTCTGGGTGCATCAGTCACGTGGAATGACGTAAAACTTTCCATCAATCAAGCCCTAAAGTAGAAGAATAAGAAAAAAAGAAGAATCTTCATATAGGATTCTAATGCAAAGATATTCTAATGCAAGTATTATTAACTGTTTTCACGGCTCGAATCAGTAACCTATAGGTTACACAAAGCCAACTTTAACGGTAATCTAAGGCTCCCTAAGAATAAAAAGATGGAGTATAATAAAAAAGATTTAATTACCGTAGAGTTTTCGCCATTGTTCAAAGTAGGGGAAGAGAGAAGAAGTATAGTCATGTGCTACAAATTCACCATAGTTGGTTGGAGCTTTAAGAGAAGCAGCTTGAATCTTCTGCATTTCAGGAACATTTCCATATAAAAAAGATGGTTTAGGTCCATTGATTCCTTGTTTCTGAAGTTTCCATCGAAGTCTTTGAGCTGACTTTAACCACAGAATATTAAATATATAAAAACCTCCAAAACCAAGAACCAGTAGAATTAACACCAATGAAGAAATAAAGCTCTTGAAAAAAGGAGGAGAAATTAGAAGAGGAAGAAGAAGGAGGAGAAGGGAGAGTAGTACAAAAGCTGCAGCCTTCATTTTTGGCTTTTCTTGCGCCTTTCTTTGGATACACACTCATTATATAATAAATCAGGTTGCAGTATTGGGGAGAGAATATATATATATAATGCGTTGAGATTTTGACAGCCTTTTGTCACCTTATTTGGTTTTGTTATTATTGATATGTTATTATTATGAATTACACTGTAACAAAAAGGGATTGGCACTACGGGCGTGTCATATATAGCACCTTATTCTGTGACGCTCCCTTAAAATTAATTAGTTAAATTATCACGATTCATATTAAGGGTGTTAAACGGGTGGGCCGGGCCGGGGTGGAAAAAAATAAAACTGACCGGTTTTTAATCTGGGCCGGTTACGGGTTAGTCTATACTGGGTTTAATGGGTCCATCCGGGTAAAAAATGAACCGTAAGGGTTATGGGTCCAAGTGTCGGGGCAGGGCCGGGCCGGGTTAATATTTTTTTTTTGTATTTTGTATAACTATCGTAATTTATATTAATACAACGTAAAAATATCAAACCAAAAAAAAATCTTATAAAAAGACTGTTTGAATAAAAGGATGCAAAGGCTTTAAAATCTTTATATTTGAAATTTTGAATATTTCATTAAGAATTTAAGATAATAGAATATAATGAAGATGGAAAAAATTGCACTTATAATTTACAAGTTCTTTTTTTTTCAAACTTACAAATTAAAGTTTACATTTAACAACAACTAAATTAACGAAAAAAGAGTAAAACTAAATTTTTATTGCATAACAATACTTCAAATTAATCTAACAAACTAAAACATTAAGCATAAGTACGTCTAGTAATTTTAAAATAACACAAATTGTCTCAAATCAACTTAAATACGAATTTCTGGAGGACGCTCAAGACAACTCTTCATATGCCTCCTTAAACAGCCTGTGTCTACCCACTTTAGACGAAGATTTAAGACTAAACCACAGTTCATGCACTTTACTTTGTGAACTTCTTCATTTTCTTCTACCACCTCACAGTATTCCCAAACATATGAGCGCACTCTAGAAGTACGAGGCATGATTTAACTTGAATTGAAAATTTGAGTTTGAAAAATGAGAAATGAGCGAAGAAATGAAGAAGAGGGGGGGGTATATTTATAGTTTTTCAAATGGCTAAATTAATAATTACTAAAAGTTATTTTTGAAAAAATATTGCCCAAAAAAGGACTATTCTTGCAATCAACCCGTTGGGCAACGGTCATATGACATTTAAAAAAAAATCAGAAATCTAGCTGTTAAATCGGTCTGGGTCGGGCCGGTTAACCGAGTCTTCAGGAATTTTGGTTGACAGAAATTTGACCGGTCCGGTTAACCGGATGTATTAAGGTGAACGGACCAACCCCTAACCCAGCCCACCCGGCCCCTAAGTACCGATCTAGGTTTCAACCAGTCTGGCCCGGGCTGAAACGGGTCAACCTGACCCGTTTGACACCCTTAATTCATATATATAGTATTTCCTCCGGTCCATATTTATTGTCGTGCTTGTTAAATATAGTTGGTCTAAAATAGTTATCGTTTTAGAAAATTAAGATATAATTAATTATTTTTTTTTCTTTTTTGCCCTTAGTATTAAATGTTCTTGAAAATAAAATATTAACTACATAGCATAGAAAACCTAAAAGTGAAGAGTGTTAAATAACGTTATAATAGTAAAAAAATCCTCCTATTAATAGTTTCTTAAAGAACGTGTAAAAGAGAAACATGACAATTAAAATGGACTAGAGAGAATAAATGATTAGACCTAATGGACTAACTTTGACACCTCATGTGCCTTAATATTGGCACCTTTTTAGGTTTTGACACACTATTAAAAAAAATCTTTCAAAATACATTAGTTATAAGAGGTGATAATTATTCCTATATTACCTTAAGTGAGAAATTAATGATCACATGCCTTTTTGGGTAGTAACTACTAAGGGTAGAATTGAGAGAAATTTTAAATTTTCTAAGGTGATAANATATATAATTTATATGTATGGAATTTGAATTACAAGATAATTTTTAATTTATAAATAAAGTTCTAAAATTAGAATTTAAATTAAAAATAAAATTTATTATCATGTTATCATATATTCGTTAATGATCATATGCAATCATGTTAAGAACTTTTGTTATTTTTTATAATTATTTAAATACTTCTAGCAAAAAAAATTACTCCATATAACTATACAAATTCTTTCACATTCAAAATTTTATAAGTATAATTCTTTGAAACACTGTAGTTAGATTTGAATAAAACAAATTTTCTTAAAAATAAATGTAATATATATGGTACATGTCTATGTTTATCTAAATAACAAAAAAGAGTTTACAAAATCAAATAAAAGTCTACTTACATATATAATAAAGTAAACATATATGCTGGAGAAAGAAACATCACAAAATCAATCAATATTAAAAAAAAATTGTTTCTTTTTTCTTCTTGAAGAATATTTGTTTGAAGAGTCAATTTGCATAAATGGACATCAAACAAATAACAAAACTTTGGCTATATAATTGCTATCATTAATTTTAATTTAGCACATTCAAGGAATTAAAGGGGTATAAGCTGAAACCCCTTCATTTAGCTGTAGTCAAGCCATTGCAATGGTATAATATTTTATTCATTGAAGAATATTAGTTTTTAATCATTAGATTATGTGAAAGGTTTTTTTTTCAAACTCAGCAAGAGATAAATTGATTTCTAATTGATAGTTTCTATAACGATTTTTAAGTGTAACAAAGAGTATATATAAATAAAAAATTGGTATGCCGTGAAATATTTTTTTTAAATGTAAACAAATTATTTCAAAAAATCTCTTTACTTTTTTTAATTCAAAGATAATAAAAAGATAAGATATTGTGAACATTAGTAGAGAGTTTTAAAATTATTATAATAGAAGTCATATCATGGATAAACTCAAAAAACTGAAATCTTATGGAATATTTACATAATATCCGGTCATATTTATTGTTTACTTTTTATAGATAATATAAATAGATGATATAACAACAACACACGATTATACACATATTATATATGGATTAAATATAAATTATACATCATTCAATTTTTTAATTTAAGTAGTCGGGTGAGCACCTATCTAGGCTGATTAGATAAAGCCAAAAGAAAAATATGAAATAATTTCAACCAAAGACTAAAAATATAATTAAAGTTCATATGTAGACAATTTTTATTAAAAATTATCCTTTTATAGTGAAATAAATTAATTTTTTTGTAACAACAGAAATAATGACATAAAAAATAAGATAAAAGAAAATAAATATTGGAAAAAATGTTAGAAAGATCTAAAAACGAGAAATAAAAGATGACAACAAATTTCTTCTTATGTTTCATCTTTGTTGAATATAAAAATTTGAAAGTTAATCTCATCGATTTCAAATATTTTCTTTCAACTCAAATACATAGATTATAAGATAAGGATATCTTTGAATATTTTTTTTTAATTTGCATTATGTGTCTTTTTAAAAAAATTACTATTACTAACAAACTGATATGATATTCAAATTTGAATTGAAATGTAATTTGAGTAGTTTGCATTGAGGTTAAACCAAGTATGGTGTCGAAAAATAAACTACTTGATAATTTTAAGACAATATATGCAATAATAAACTAATTTAACATTTAATGATTCGAAGATTTTTTTTTTGTATATATAGGGTATTAAAAATTTAAATTTTGGGGCTTGAGATATCGATAAACTTAAAGTGGAGTCATACAGAAATAAATCCGGCCAAAGAATCATTTAAATTTTTAGATAGCCGATTAAAGTAACTTTTAAATTAAGGATAATATTTTCACTTGCATCATTATAAAAATAATCATTATTATAATATATGTAAAGTTTTGAAAATTGAAATTTCAAAATAGAAATATTTTTTGAAAGATAAAAATCATACCAAATAAGAGTTCAAGTTGTAGTATAAGAGTCACGTCGTAACCAAAGAATCGTTTATATCGTGTCAACCTTTGTGCTTTTCCATAAATATGAGTTATTATTTCACTTTGTGGCTATTTTTAGGTTCCAATGACACCTATGAGAATAGTGCAAAATAAAATTATCACTACGAGAATTGAGAAAATGTTAGTCTTTTTTCATGTAGTGTTTCTTAATTAATCTAACGATTATCTATAATTGTTTAGAAGATTTAAATGTTAAGGTTATTTACATATAATTCAAATAACTCGGATATTTAACATGGTTAATGTCAAATATCAAAATGGAATAAAAAAAAATCACTAGCTAAAGAATTTTTTATATTTTTAGATAGCCAACTAAATTGAGTTTTAAATTAAGAATAATATTTTCAATTATATTATTATAAAAAATAATTATTATTGAAAAATAATGCTTTAGAAACTGAAATTTTAAGAAAAAAATATTTTCTAAGAGATATCAACACACCAAATAAGAGTTCAAGTAGTAGTAAAAGAGTTAAATCTTATCCAAATAGTCATTTATTGTCTCAACATTTGATTGTTTTGCCAGAAATATGAATTATTATTTTGCTTCCTGACTATTTTTAGGATCCAATGACACCTGCAAGAATGGTATCAAAAAAGAAAAATAGAATAAATGGTTAATTTTTCATGTAGTTAATATCCAATGATTATCTATATTTACTGAAAAAGTGTAAATTTTAAGATTATTTACATACAATCCAAATAACTTAAATATTTATGCGCGGGTACTAATATTATAATATATAAAAACAAGAGTTTTGATCTAAAGTGAAGATAAAAAGGATCCGAGAGAGAGAGAGATTTATTAGAGACTATGAATTCCCCTTCCCCCGCATGATTAAACTAATTAATGAACTGACTTTCACACGTCATATGCCTCTAATATTGGCACTTATTTTAAGGTTTTAACACACTTATTGGCCTTCAAGAAAATCATTTCATATAATTAATCATAAGATGTATACTAATTATTCGTGTCTCTTCCTTAAATGATAAATTAATGATTGTATACTTTCGTAAAGTAGTAAGGATAGAATTCAAGAAAAGATTAGTATGTTCTTAAATTTTTAAGGTGACAACT